AATAATAATAATAATAATAATAATAATAATAATAATAATAATAATAATAATAATAATGTTGAGGTGTTAATGTTTTTTGCTAGTCAAAACACACGTGACCTAAACTCAGACAGGAAAGCCGGTCACAGGACTCTGGCAATACTTGTGGGACCACAAAGTTCATGTTATCTTCACACCTTGTTACTGTTGTTCCCGTATGTAGTAACAGGTTTACTAGCATCCTCGACCTCGCTGTATTTTAGCATACCTGTGATTACAATTCCGTTTGCTTTGAATTTAAGTGTAGCGTGTTTTGAAGGAGAACACCTCACCTTGCCACAAAATATAGTCTTGTTAGATTCTGCATTTGGAATTTTGTATGTGATTAGTGTGTTCTTGAAGTGAAAGAAGAGCTTTTCAAATGTAATCGTTTGTTGTCTGAGCACCAGTGGATTTCAGGGAGTAATATACAAAACATGCCAAATAACATCTAACGGTCCAACATCATAGTCGTCAAAATCGGTGGAATGATTTCTAAACGGTGTTTATTTCATGGGGTTTCTTGTTTAAGAACATAACATGTTGGTCAATTATGGGATGAAAAGTACAGCCGAAATAAGCGAGCTGTTTTGTGGTTCGCACTATTATCTGCATCAGAAATTTCATCCAAGATTTTCGATTTTGTTTGGCACGGTCTATTCTCGTTATCGTAGGGTCCCCAACCACTCACGTGAAATCACGAATGCTCCGACAACAGTGGTTTCGACTACCTTTCTGCAAATTAAAAATTCGAGCATTAGTTAGGTACGAAGTTATAATTCAACAAGGCAAGTTGATTTTTGTGGTTTAACTCTGGATATTGTGTTTGTGGAGCGAATACTTAAAATAACTGTTCTAACAGTCTTGAGGTGTGACCCTAACCCGTTAAGACGGCAACCTTGTTGATACAGTCAAATTTTCATGGACCGTCGGTGATCGTATTAACGGGGTTCCACTGTATAGTTCAGTTCTTTGTTATGTTGAAAATGCTATTAAAATGATAAACAATATCGCGAGTCGAAAGCATGCTTACTTAAGTGTAACGCAGAACAACGAGATTAATAACGCAATAGAGCGGTTTTCAATTGAGTGTCTTAAAACCAAAACCAAAGTAATCACTCTATCCAGTTACAATGGACACAGAAACCCATGCAACTCTTTTCTCATGGTCAACATGGCTAGCGGCATGGATCGCGGGCGCGTGCGCCCAACGACGACGACGCGCAACATTGCGGCCATACTCCAGCTCACTCCAGCTGATACCAAGTCATGCAGTCTTGGTTTACAGCGTATATCTTTGATATTGGACATCCATGTTATGTTAATTGACCTGTCAAAACAAGGTATCAAAACTATTGTCTCGATGTATTGCCAAATTATCAGAACTAAATAATATTTTGAGGTGAAAACAGAAAACACACAAGTTATGATTTAACTGATTTTCTTTTCTTTCTTTTGTTTTGGCAGGAGTTCTTATTACATGAGCGGCTGATGTTTGAGCAAAAAGAGGGTGTCCATGCACCAGGAGAAGACTGGCCAAGACATCACATGGCACAGGAAAAACCTGGAGGAATTGGTGTGGTGCATTATCCTCAGCCACTTCATCAACAACGCTTGGATACCAGCAAAGTATGAATCTTGATTTATAACTAATATCTAAGAATTAGTTGTGATAAAATTATTGTATGTCCTCTTGGCTTCTGTGAGAAATTTGATTACATTTGAGTAACAGTATCAATTGTATCAAAACCAGTAGTTAATGTTGCACATCGATGTGTTCACATCAATGATGGATCTAGGTATTAAGGTTCCAGTAGGCTAGCAACAAATTGATAAACCCTAGGTATTGTCTGTTAAAATTTTTCACAAAGCAGTAATCTTCGTTTTCTTCTTTAGAGTCCTCTCTCTGTTGATCATCACAAAGGTGATCCCTCGTTGGCTCGGATGGTAGCCAATAGAGAGGCTGATCACCTATACAGGAGCTTCCCCTTTCATCCTTTCCACCCCCCTCCTGCAGATGGAAAAGGATTCGGTGATCGTTATGGCAATGAACTTGATCTTCGACATCTTCAGCCTGAAAGTGTAAGAAGATTAGCGGGTGGGCCATCAGAGCGATTGGGAGTGCGTGAAATGCCCTTTTTAGATTCTCAGTCATTTAACCGTGAAAACTTCCATGGGAATGTTCAAAGAGTAGAGAGAAGTACCAATGGTGAGAGGGAGTGGCAGAGAAGAGACAGGGTAACACTTGTCAATGGAGATTACCAACCTGGTAAGTGACAATTTAACCATGATATTTCATCTTTCAAGTGACAAGACTCAATTAAAAGGGAAAGTGAAGAATGATCATCGCAGTNTCTTCACTTTCATCTACAACTGCAGTTCAAATATGAATTATTTCATATTTACTTCACATCAAGACTCAATTTATGTGAAAAGCTTGTTCTGCAACTCCACTGGTGCTTGTGGTAAACAATTCTGAGTGGCTCAGACTCATATTTAAGTGATCTAGCCTAGGTATGTTCCGCCTGAATTAATTATAGCTACTGGTTTTCAGCATATTTAATCATTTGGGAATGTCTATAATATTTATAAATAACTTTCTTTGAGGGTTATAACCAGGAGGGAAAAACTTTTTGGCGCATGTTAATGACCTTTTTTCCCTTGATACTTGTGTTGCATGTACTAGACAAAAAAGTCAGGATTTTTAGTGTTTCTTTAATGTTCAACAGCCCTCTCAAATGTTACACCTAAACTTGCGTTAATATTTGTAGATGTGCAGAGACCAAAGTCATCCGATAGATCATCCCCGAGCCTGGCCAAAAGAATTAAAGTTGAAAGAATCATGGACGAACCACCTGTTAAGCCTGCAGTTAAGATAAGACACAATCCTCATAAACTGAAGTTTCTTGAGGGGCTAGGGCTTGTAACTGTGGATAAGAAAAAAGGTAAATCCTTTGTGTGAAGAATCTGAACTAACTAGTCTATGACTCAATCTATGGCCTATAAGATACAAGTTAGGTCAAACCTCTACAATAGAGACACTACGGGGTTGGAACTAAGGGGTACAGTGTCTGTATTAAAGAGGTTTTTACATTAGTTGTATAGTGAACTCTGGTGTTTTATTGGAACAAAGTGAACTGTCCATTATAAATCTGATCTGACTGGAAGCCCATCTACTCCATTTTGGAGCAGAGGCCACTGACAAGACTCCTCCAATCCTCTCTGTCCCTGGCTAGGCGTTCCATCTGTATCCAGGATTAGGCCTCCAGCTAAATAGAGATGGCCATATTATGGAGGTATCTGTAAGGAGATGTTCAGCTGTACTACCAAGATGTTGGTCTATGAAACATGCTGCAAATACACTGCTGGCATATTGCAGCAAATACACTGCTGGCATATTGCAGCATGCAAAGAAAGTTGTGTTCATTAACCTGGGGCTATTGGGTTTTGCACCTGGGTTAGTGGTTTCTGTCCTGTACTTGCCCCATAGGCAACAGAAGTTTCTCGGGAAATTTTTGGGGAAATTCAAATTACAAGAGTATTGAAAGCTATGAAATTCTTGGAGGCTAGTGAGAATTATTATTGGGCTAGCACATCACAATTACAGCTTGCCCAAAGGGTTGTGTTACTCAACATGTATGTTGAGTAACACATGCCAGTTCAGTGGCTGACACATTGCCAATGCGTTGGATTGTGCACCACCCATTTTGGATCTGATGCAAATGCTTCAGGTGATACCACATAATTTACCATGGGCCAACATGCCACTGTCAAAGTGTTAGTTGACATGCTACCAATACATCAGGTGACACAACCGATTTGTTCTGTTGTTCATCATAAATGCATGACCTGACAATACACATAATTCCTTGTGCATTAGCAAACCACTGACATACTGATGACATGTGTGATCAACATGCCACCAACATAAGAGAAAAATCAGACTGAAATATCTCTTGTTTAGATGTATAATTAAATTGTGGTACTGATGATCATGTGTTTGCTTGCAGAAATCCACCAAGGAGGCGCAACATTGAAAAGAAAATATGAAGGTGACCATGACAATGAAAATGGTGTAGATTCTCCAATTAACTTGATGAATGACAGTGATGTCAATGGTGGCCAAGATGAGAATGATGAAAATGTGCCACCACCTCTTCCTAGTGCTGAGGTCAGTTGATTTTAAACAGTTGATAACATAATAAGACTAGTTGGGTTTTGTGGTAGACTGGCTACATAAAGCTAAGGTGGCTTTCCTGTAAAGATGTGTGACTGAAATGTTTTCCAATCAACAGAAATTAGACTTCATGGCAAAGCTTGGCTTATTACCTCCTAGTAAAAGACAAGGTAAGTGAACAGTCTGTCAACAAAAATTAATGAGAATGAGGTCAGGTTTGTGATTCCAGGTAATTGATTGCACTATTGAGTATGATTATGTTACAACTAGGGATGGGAATTCACTAGTGAACTAGATCACTATGTTTCAACTCCTTACTCCTGGTCTTCATCATCACCGGGTATTTAGGCAGACTATTTCCTCATTGGTCAGGGCTCAGTCTTTTGTAGATGTGTTTAGAACTGGATTATGTTGTGGGTTCAACTTCCTCACTAAAAGAACCTGGTAAATTTGTGGGAACCAAGTCTTTCAGTTTACTGTCCTTAGGTCATTATGTGACAAAAGTGGATCTTCTGAAATATAAAATGAAATTTGACCAAAATATAAAAAATAATCAATTGCCAAAAATTACATGTAAATCTCTATCTAATGGCATTTATTGGCTAAAAATATGGGCTGGTTTTCCAAGCCTGTAAGTTTGAATCTGTTCCTTCCATAATTTAATTCAAAATAATCATGACAAACTTGACTCGTACATTAATACCATTTCCAGAAATGCTCATAATAGAAGTTTCTGGTCACAAACTTACGGCAATGTCATCACAAGGAACTGACGGTCTTAAAAAGTGTTATAACTTAAGACATTGTACTGCACAAAGTTATTGAGCTATCTACTACCTGGTGCCATGAATTTACAACTGATAAGTTCTCTTTGTTTACCTTTAGAGCTAGAGCAGTCATATGAAATTAAAAGAACTGAGAGAAAGAACAGGAAAAGCAGAGGTCGTCCTCCCAAGAGAGCACGTAGAGATAAAGAGGTGAGTAGCGGTAAAACATACAGGTTACACTCTAGCAAAAAAATTAGTGCCTTGCCTATAAATGTGCAAAAACTACATCTCTTTTCATAGACTGTAGCACTACTCTGGTACCACTCCTTTAAAGCTGAATGAAGTTTACAAATTAAAGTAAGAAATTAATGTTGTTCCTTAATTGATACAAAAACTTGGTTCTGACTGTTTGGCCCTTTGATTTTGTTGTAGAATGACAGGGATTCTGATAACAGCCAAGGCTCTGTTGATCCTGACACGATAACAGGACCAATAACTCGGCAAAAGCAACAACTATTACAGGAGCAGGAAAGAAAAGAAAACAAAAACAAAGATGTGGACAAAGAACAGCCCATTAATATAAAAACAGAGGATGGAGAAAAAAGGATTGCTCAATATCCATTTGATAGAACCTTTCGCCGAGGCAGTGAGGAAAGATATCGACAAAGCCCCACCATGAGCGGTAACACTAATCATCTGCCACCACGTCTAACACTTCAGTCCCTAACTAACATGGAAGATCCCTTTAGTAACATCAGTGCATCGCAATTTCGACCACCTTATCTACGGCATACAGGGCTCTTGTCAATTTCGCATGAGCACGGCAATGTTGCCTCTCATACGAGACCTGAACATCGGGCTGTGACCCAACCAATTAGACCTGAGCCTCTGAGAAGTATGGGGATATCTTTTAGTGAACAAGAGACCAGGGACTACCTCAGTCAGCACCCATCAGGCAGCATACAGGGACGACAATTTGGACCATTACCTTTGTCAGAACAACAACAAGGAACTAGAAATAAACAAGGAGAGCCTCCAGCAAAGGTGAATTTATTAATTTTTTTACCTTCTTTGTGAGATTTTAGGTCTCATTCATTAAAAAGATTGACCAGACGGTTTTAAACATTATTAGGAGAGTACATTTGGAAAAAACTTAAACACAGCCTACTTTTGTGAGCCACTCAAAATTTAGTTAGCCACTGGATGTTTTGACTTCGTAAATAATTAATAGCCGTCATATTTATTACTGGATTTTTATGCAGCATCATAGTAGAAAGTTAAGGTTCATTGGCCAAATGGTTAACGTGCCCAAGCCCTGGCAAGATATAATCTTAGGGAACTTATGTTCTTGGGCAAGACACGTTTCTCCTATCTGTACCGCCTCAGTGTAAATTGATACCAAGAAATAATGTTTGAGAAACCAGACAAAATGTGTGTCTGGTAACCTGCCATGTGTTGTTCCAGAAAATATCCATACCCCCTCCACAGAAGGTTTATTGGNGTAATTTTTTATCTAAAGCACTCACTGTTTACATGCGAGAGTTTGGCTATAATTTATATTTTACTTGGAGCATGTTAAAACAAAGGAAATCACTTTGAAACTACTAATCAAGAAATAATTAAACAAGCTTTTAGGAACACAACTTACAGTAAAGGCAATTAAGATTTCGCTTCACCATGCAATATCAATAATTACGATGGCATCAAAAATGGCGGAGGGTGACTAGCGTTCTTTAAGTATCAAGTTCAAGCTAGCATCAGGCAAGTTCAAGGCATTGTTGAACATAACTATACTCATTAATTTTTTTTAGTCAAAAAGCTGAAAGTGGCTCGTGCAATTTCAGCTTTATGAAAAACTCACAAGTGCAAATTTATTCCAAATTGAATGAGAAAAACCGTATGATTACTTATTAATAATATAAAAATGAAAAAAATTTGCATGGAAGTGCCAGATCTTTCTTGAAGCCATTTTTTCTCATTTGAAAAAACTTTTTCAAAGCTTCGGCACACAATTTTCCTCATTTTGCATGATATCATTCGCTCAGAAAATTTCCAATTTTCTTTCAGCCAATCATAATCCAGAATTACAATGTGTAATTTGCACTGGTGTTACATTGGAGCTGCACTACTCTCAGCCAATCAGAATCAAGTAATTTTTTCATGTATATTATTAATATTATTATGTAACTATGTCTTTGCAGAGAGGGGTCTTGAAATAGGTGTGCTCCAAGACAATGCTGATGTATTAAAGTCACAAAATCTTTCACTGAATGAGGAGGCACAGGCCCTTAGTCTCCAAATGACGGTGAGTTTGCAAAAGCTATAGTAAGAGTTTAAGTGTGTATCATGGCGGTTTTACATGGGTAAAAGTTTCAAAAAATTAACAGGATTATGTTGTATTATAATATTTGAACACAGGTATGAACTTGTTACAGTTCTTAAGCATTTCAAAGAACAGCTACATGTAATTTACCTGTGTACAGAACACATTACAAGGGAAGGGGCACTTCTAAGGGAGGGCATGTTTAGTAGAAGGGTGTAATTAAATTGAATTTCTAAAACAGCAAACACTGAGACTATGTTTTGCAGTTTTCATTAACTAAGGACTTGTAGCCACTCCCATTGAAAGCCAAGGGCTTTTAAGGTGAATCTATAACAATCATATTGCATTAATTATAAATGCTTTTCCTTTTCAGAACCTTGTACAGGCCAAAAAGGATCTTCTAGAAGAGCGGAACTCCCTAAGAGAAGGCTTAGACAAACTCCATTTCTTCATTGAAAGTCTAAAAAGATAATATATTTGTAACATAGATGTAAGATTCTATATTTAAGAGCTACATTTTTCATGGCATTCTCTTATGAAAGAAAACAAAGTTTTGCCTCACATGATGCAGAGACACAACAGTGTTGGAAAAGATTTCCAGACTTTTAAAATATTAAAGCTCAGACATTAATGTATTTTTCAGCTTGAAGAGATTTCTATGTTGTGCAAAGGTTAATTTTTCCGCATGCTTTAAAAGAGTTATCCATTAGCTAGATAACAAAATTAAGTGAAGAAGAAATGAATAAATTCTATTTAAAAAGAAATCTGTCTGACCATTGATATTTATATAATTTGGTAATTGTATGAATGCAAGTGCAATTTAGGGTAGACACTGCAAGTTATATCTGAAATTCTTTCAAAATTACACAAGTCTTTGGGTAAGTGCAATTTGTGAATTTCAAACTTGTTGAGTAGTGGAAATCCTTAATTGCTCATGACAAGCTTTCATTCAAATACTCATTTATTATTGTTTACAGGAAAGATATTTGTTTACAAACATTATTTTTGTTATTTAGATGTTCGAAATGTTAAAGAAAAGAATTCTTCGTTTCACCAGCCAATAGTTCTCTGGTTGGCATATTATTAACAATGGGTGATGTCACTGATAGCTTTGCTACATAAGCGAGAAAATTAAACATACATGCATTAATTTGCCATGCAGGGCAAATTAAAAATAAGTGGTAAATTTGCCTGTCCTCAGCCAATCTTAATAAAGAAATTTNTTTTTTGCTAGTCAAAACACACGTGACCTAAACTCAGACAGGAAAGCCGGTCACAGGACTCTGGCAATACTTGTGGGACCACAAAGTTCATGTTATCTTCACACCTTGTTACTGTTGTTCCCGTATGTAGTAACAGGTTTACTAGCATCCTCGACCTCGCTGTATTTTAGCATACCTGTGATTACAATTCCGTTTGCTTTGAATTTAAGTGTAGCGTGTTTTGAAGGAGAACACCTCACCTTGCCACAAAATATAGTCTTGTTAGATTCTGCATTTGGAATTTTGTATGTGATTAGTGTGTTCTTGAAGTGAAAGAAGAGCTTTTCAAATGTAATCGTTTGTTGTCTGAGCACCAGTGGATTTCAGGGAGTAATATACAAAACATGCCAAATAACATCTAACGGTCCAACATCATAGTCGTCAAAATCGGTGGAATGATTTCTAAACGGTGTTTATTTCATGGAGTTTCTTGTTTAAGAACATAACATGTTGGTCAATTATGGGATGAAAAGTACAGCCGAAATAAGCGAGCTGTTTTGTGGTTCGCACTATTATCTGCATCAGAAATTTCATCCAAGATTTTCGATTTTGTTTGGCACGGTCTATTCTCGTTATCGTAGGGTCCCCAACCACTCACGTGAAATCACGAATGCTCCGACAACAGTGGTTTCGACTACCTTTCTGCAAATTAAAAATTCGAGCATTAGTTAGGTACGAAGTTATAATTCAACAAGGCAAGTTGATTTTTGTGGTTTAACTCTGGATATTGTGTTTGTGGAGCGAATACTTAAAATAACTGTTCTAACAGTCTTGAGGTGTGACCCTAACCCGTTAAGACGGCAACCTTGTTGATACAGTCAAATTTTCATGGACCGTCGGTGATCGTATTAACGGGGTTCCACTGTATAGTTCAGTTCTTTGTTATGTTGAAAATGCTATTAAAATGATAAACAATATCGCGAGTCGAAAGCATGCTTACTTAAGTGTAACGCAGAACAACGAGATTAATAACGCAATAGAGCGGTTTTCAATTGAGTGTCTTAAAACCAAAACCAAAGTAATCACTCTATCCAGTTACAATGGACACAGAAACCCATGCAACTCTTTTCTCATGGTCAACATGGCTAGCGGCATGGATCGCGGGCGCGTGCGCCCAACGACGACGACGCGCAACATTGCGGCCATACTCCAGCTCACTCCAGCTGATACCAAGTCATGCAGTCTTGGTTTACAGCGTATATCTTTGATATTGGACATCCATGTTATGTTAATTGACCTGTCAAAACAAGGTATCCGCTGACCAGTATCACGTGACCGTATTGCGGGCTCAGGTTTAGAGCTCATCCAGGTCTTGTGGTTTTTTTTTCTTGTTGGTTTCCGATTGGAACGCAGGCTAATGCCAGGTAATTTGTTGCATTCATGACTGGGTTGTTCGGAAGCCGGATAACGCTAAGGCCATCCCCCCCTTTTTTTTTCGTTTATTGTCAAATGCGTTTTTTTGATTTTGGGTCGGTCGGTCGGAAAAGGGACAAAAACCAAAAATACAATTGGAAAAGGAGTCTGGAGCTGGGAGGCCCGGTACCTCAGCATAATGTCCGTGGAGCCTGGAAACAATAAGGTGTGGTTACAAAGTCAGCATGGCGGCAATGGAGGAAGGAAAAAGTCGACGTTGTTGTTAAAATCAAACGAGAACAGGGAAAATCTAAAAATCTGTAAGGCAAAAAATTGCTTATGTTTCAGATTAAAGTGACGATTGTTTGAAATAATGTGTCATTGCCTTCATTGCCTTCTGTGTAACTTTTTTTTTTTTTTTTGAAAACGCGAAAATCTGGGTCGGTCGGACGACGCTAAACAGAGAAAAAAAAGGGGATGGCCTAACCCAGGATTAAAAGTTAATTGAAGTACAATTTTTTTTCTATACAAACGTGTTTCACTGCTTTTGAGTCATGGGCTTCTGGTGTAGTTTGAGATTATTCAAAATCAAAACAGAAGGCCAAACAATATGAACAGAATACCTCACCACAAATTTACAAAACTCAAATCAAAATTCTCGTTCATCTTGAGTTTAGCTTGATCGGGCTTTGAACAACCCGGCCCAAGAGCTCCGCTTTTAGGCTCCGCTAAATCTATATATTATTCATATTTCATTGTGCCGCAATCTTTCTAGTATTATTGATGCTTGTAATTTACAATGGACCATTTCACAGTCACCTGTTCGGTGACCTGGCCTTTGAATGGCAGCGAGGCTGGAGTTGACTTTGCTTTGATGACGTTTCTGCTTTTGTCACGTAAATGAACCTAGTTAGCATTGGAACAACTTGATTTACACAACAAAAGCAGTGAGGTCTGAATCAAAACAAGGTCAACTCCAGCCTCGCTGCCATTCAAAGGCCATATCACCGAGTAGACAACTGTGAAATGGTCTATTGAATTGAATTGAATGTCTAATTTACTACCTCTAAGTATACAAACTGTTGCTGATTTAGGAGTTGTTTGATATGTGTCCTGCAAATTCGTTATTAAAAACAAATTTTAACTTCGAACACTCGGCAAGCGAAATTAAAATATTACGAACCATCTTGACAGTCTCTCTGGTCAAGAGAATATGAGGATCATAAATCTCTTGCTCTGGTACATTAATTATTTTCCTTGGACGGAAACAGTGGGGTATCAATGGCAAAACACTTGCTTTATGGCTGATCGGATCTCCCGATCTCGCCAACAGTATAATACAGGGTTCAAAGAAGAATTCAGGCAAATGAATGTGATTGTCATGCTATAAATTCTTGGAGTAATGCTCATACCTGCAGCAGCCATTTTAAGGACAACGGTATGGGGCATGTAACAGCAAACGAGTAAAATAAACACAAGAAAAGTGTTTAAAGCAGTTTTCTGGAATCTTTTTACGTTCAAAGTATTTGGATTAATCGCCTGTCGTTGTTGCTGAATCTGTTTGTGGTGACGGCGCACAATCAGGTATATTTTTAAATAAACAACAAAGTTTCCAACAAGCAGGCTGACGATTGTAGCCGACGAGAGGGTCTCGCATAGGCCCGCTGAAATCCAGAGATTCGTGGTTCCAGAAATACCTGAAAATAACCATATAAAAACGACAGCCCAGGCGGCGCGGAACACTGTCACTTGTGCTTTATATCTCAAATGTAATTGAAGAACAAGAAAGCGATCCACACCAATTGCAGTAACAGTCATGAAAGACGCTGTGTTTAAGAAGGGCACCAGAATGCCAACAAGTAATTTCAGTATAGCTTTTTGGCTTAGCACGTTTGCAATGGACAGGGGCTGACTAACCAAACTTACAGCCAGGTCTGATACAGCAAGACATACCAGCAACACATTCGCCGATAAATGCAAAGAAGACGTCTTCCATATTGTTATCAGAATCGCAGAGTTTCCGAGCAGCCCAGTGAAACAGATGATAACTTGAATTATGCAGATGGCGATCCTGTAATTCACACCTCCATAATTTCTGTCGATTTCAAGAAAACCTCCACCTGAGTTTTTAGCAGAAGTATTAAAAGGCCAAGTGAAGTTCATTTTCATGGCTTATCCAAGTAATCTACAACCAAAGCTATGGACACTAGCTGTTGTCTTAATGATCTCTGGAAAACGAAAAGGGCTTAAAAGGAAATTTAGACCTAGTCAGTTTGTTAATTTTTCATTTAATTATCACCAGCGAAATAATGTCAACAGCAGAGGAAATGAAAACATACTTATTGTCTTAACGGCAGGGGAAATCATCCAGGCAATCGTTAATTGTATGAAGAAACGACAACCGAGTCATTAAGGCTCAGCCGGATCATAATATCTTTGTCAATCATCTTTCTTGTGAGAAGACGAAAGTAGTTAAAAGTCAACATTTCTTATTTTCAAGTCATTTTTTAAATCCTATTTATTAGTCGCTGTCTTTCTGCCGTCAATTTGACAAACCCTCAAAACAATCATTCGATTTCTTTGTGTTCATCAGTTTTGAATATTTATGAGACACCACTGGGTTACATGTATATAATCGCCGGCAAATTCGACAAATGTTTTACTAACGTCAACCATAGAAAAGAGACGCGAGCACACAAAACAGCAAAGAAAATTGGTCTTAATTAATTTTGGAAATACAGAAGAAAGTGATCTGGGGAAGATCATGTCGTAATAGGGAAGATATTTGTTTACAAACATTGTTTTTGTTATTTAAATGTTCAAAACGGTAAACAAAAGAATTCTTTGTTTCACCAGCCAATAGTTCTCTGGTTGGCATATTAATAACAATAGCTGACGTCACTTATATCTTTGCTATATGAAAAGACAAACTTCTTACTTCACGCAGAAGACAGCAACAATGTATGACAATTCCTTTGTGAAGATCACATTGGGTCTACAACAGTTCTTCAATTTTCTAACACATTTCCAAACCTATTAATGAATTCTTTGAAGTTGATACAAACCACGGTTACATTTGCTAGAACTGCAAAACATGGCGGCACTCAATAACAATGGGGGAACGAACTTTATACCTGGAAGAATTGGTGCAATCCATAGGTTTACCGAAACTCAAGATCCCTCCACGCCTAGACACATTACAAATAGGGGAGTCCCTAAGAATAATACTGTACCATCATTACACAACTCGTGACAAATGATTCAGTAGTAGGCGGTCTCATGTACATATGTCGTACCTATTTTCTTACAATCCAGCCTTTGCCGGGTCAGTTATCAACAGAGCATGAATATTCCCGTCAGTGTTGAACAACAAATAAATGAAGAACAACTAAGCTATACTACCACCAATCAGTTGTGTTTCTGCTATTAGTCGGATTCTGTGGAAAACCAACACAGAAAGAGCTTTCAGGCTTGTTAGACCATAGCTCATAATTTCATATGGCGTACGTATTGATCAGTTGAGATTCGATTCAGAAGAATTGTCTACAAAGCTATATTAAAGATTAGCCATTTTGTGTACGTTCACGAGCGCAAAAGATGTTGGTAGGGAAAGAGCCTTATCCACCAGTAAGTATGCTAGGAGCAGCACAAAGAGACAAACATTTTGAACATCTGAAACAGGACTGGTACCGTGGCGGGTGGGTAAGAGGGTGGTCAGGTACAGCCGAGCTTCAAGGTGTTCCCGTACCCTTGCTCGTCCTTGCCAGGAATTTGGCTACTTCGAAACCTTCCAGGATATGAGGCTGGTATGTCAAATGACAAAACGTACGCTATTGTTCATACTTAAAAATTTACCACAGTCTTAAACCCAATAGTGCCACGTTTCTACAAAGGTCAGTTACTCGATAAATTTGCACCATGGCACAAACTGTCTTGTTTATCGACTCTAACTTGAGCCGTGTTTACCCCTTCACGCTACTACCAAGGCCTTTGTTTTTCTTCTCCTGTTTTTAAGGCAACAACAACTTCCGTATGATAGCAGGGCAGGTAAACTGTCTGATATCAGCTATACACAAGACAGGTACGGTGGACTCTGTCAGCATTTCATTTCTTCAGCATGATCATTTCCTCGGGATAACCGGACTGATGAACTCCTTCATCAGCTCGGACCTACTGGCTCTCCGGACCGAGACACAGCCACGGCTGTTCGGTCACGTAATAAAGAGAGTACGTGACTTCCTAATTCTTCTTCCTGAAAATGAAAGAGAAAAAAGCTATTGTATTTTAGAGCAAGACATTATATAACGCAACGAAATGTTAATACTGAGAAGGTGATTTTTTGGAGCTGACTTTTTGTCTCTCTTTCAATTTGAAGCCTGGTGAAAAACCTTACAGTGCTTCGATTTCTATTAAAATAACTGTGTGGGTAATTTTAAGGTTGATTTCCATGTGAACGTTTGAGTACCAAACCTCATCTTGTTACGGAGGCACAAGAACGAATGAAACGATTTAGAGGCCGCATGGGCTGCGGGAGGGTTTTCAAAGTGATTAGAGCTTACTTCAGAGCAAATTTAGGAACGGCGTCAAAAGAAATATCTATAGCCAAATGAAAACTTGTAGATGTGCGTGGGGCTGAAAGCTCTTTTTAATAACAGTCGAACGTTTCCTGGACAACTCATTCATCATTTTTCTTGTTTACCACAAAAACATCGATGCAGTCCACTGGGACTTGGAAAAAGATGACAGTAGTTGTGAGTGAGTGCTGTTATGATCACCTGCAATGTCCAGGACACAAGCGCTGTACAGGGTGAGCCACCATCTTCATCACTACTGGGTGATATCTGGAACAAAATACCAGCGAAATTAAAAGCAATCAAAAACGTACAGACGTTAATGAAATTTATGAAGAAAAGCAGAGCAGTGGAAAGGGACGGTTGATCTCCAAACATCAAAGAAAAAAATGCGATTTAAATTACTAAAGCGAGACTGTGGTCAATTTGTAACTGCAACGACAATTTTTTATTAGTAAACAACACTAACAATCAGAATGATATTGAGCCAAAGATTATGTGGCGGTATGAGTCCAGCAGTGACAGAAGGGTACTAACGGTAATAACAAAGTTTGAATGTGAAGCTCTGCACAGTGTCTGCATAACAGCAAAAGACATCAGCAATCCAGGAGAGTTTACACCAACAAACCCTAGACTAACCTTGATGAGAACAGAATCCACTGATAAACAACCTTCCGCCATTTGCTGTACAGAGTAGTTTGGAAGAAGTCTTAGATTTAAAAGAATTCCTATTAGTAATGGTAGCTTAGCATTGCAAACTAAATGAAAGGTTGCAAGAGTACTTTGACTGACGCCGTTTCCGCTAGTCGGTTTCAACGTTTTCTATTTTTTCCTGGGTCTCCAAAGATGACAAACCTTGACAACCACATGAAATACCTTTCAAGCTCACACTGCATTCTTTCGACGAACACGTGATGTGGTACTGTGGTCTCCATAGTAACAGATGACGTAAATCGAAGTTTATGTTCAGTCAGACCCAATTCTTTCATGACTTGAGCCGGTTCCATTAATCTAACAGACTATCAGACGAGAAACAGTGTTAATACGCACAGGACAACAAGCAACAACAAACACAGGAAAATCCAACTAAAAAGCTGTCAAACTCACCGTGTCTTTCAGAACTAAAACCCCTTGTAATGGCAGGTGATTATTGTGAGGAGTAAGCTTTGCTCTTTTCGCATCTGTAAAATAAATAACACACAAATGGTGTAATCCACAAAAAAGTGTTGATAAATTGTGAGATCTACTGAATAAAGAGTAATCAGTAACTAACGTCTCATACTCAATCAAGCACACAAGTCACTATTAGCATGAACATGATTTCCAANGGACACCCAAAATAACTAAAAAGTTAAACTAGTTGGGTGACCTTAAAGATATTGTTAGATAAAAATAGTCAATGACTTTGCATTTTAGTTTGCAACTTTTCCTCTGCAAAGCATTACCGGTCTAGATGGGAAAATCTAGACCGCTTTCAATATCGATTTCAGCCAATCAAATTCGTGAATTTGGTAGTCACCAGTACTTGTGACACAGAGCCATATAATAAAGGGAAATACTAACCTCTAAATGCTTCTGTGTTAACATAGGCAGTTGCCTGAACAATATTATTTTGTATCGTGTAAGCGGGATATCTCGCAACCAAGCCCTCCATCCCGTCACTAGCTGGATTTGTTCTTGGCAGTGCCGAGTTTAGCTCCTCGTTCACGTTTTGGATTTGTATCCAGGTTGTGTTTATTGTAATAATGAGTGACATGCCGGAACTTAGCAAGCTCATTGTTACAGAAAGACTGTTGTGTGTTATTCGTCTCCTAGATCAAAATACTTTTTTATGAACGTTGAACTTTGAATACCAAGGACACGACAAGTAGCATTGACTCTCCTCCTGGTAGCATGCGACTCCTTCCCAGGGGCCCATACAGGTACCGTGAGAGTGGCCTGCCTTGCTAAACAACACAATACAAAGCTCGAACCCAGACCTCTGATCCCAGTACCAACACACTACCGTGGTGAAAAGTTCTTGTGTATGAACCGGTCGTAGGGTAAAAAATCTGTCATGCTAGAGAGTAAAAAAATATGGCAGCCTCCAAAACAAAACGACTCTCGACTTTTCTTTGGTTGGATGTCCCAGCTGCAGTGCGGAGCTTTTCATCTAGCATGGCGGATTTTGTACCATGTGGCCGGCTCATTCAAAACACCCAGAACTGACCTTTTCTTTCCAGAGACGTGACTTTTCTTTTCAGCAAATCTAGAGACATGTCGACTGTAATGGTGGGAATGGTAGTCATACACACTGTTTCTCCATTTGCTGGTTTGTAGCAGTTTATCCCTGAAGGAAACATTGTATAACGAGGAGAGTTAAGAGGCTTACTTTAATTACTGAAGTAATTCTTGACTGCTTCTCCATTGTCAAGACAAGTTTCTTTCCCTTTCATTCCATGAGTCGAGATATCGATTCTCTTTACTAATTGCCATAAATTTATTTCAGTGTCAGTTCTGAGTATATGATGATAGATCTAGACAATATCCCCTTGTTGAGCCCTTTGATTAGTTGATGATTTTTTTCATTCTTGAAAGAGAAATTAAATGGGTTAACCACCATGAATACCAGAGATAAATAAGAGATATCCACTTATTAATGATGTTCTAGGATTTGCTGTTCTCCCCTTCATGGCTTACCAAATTCTTTCTCAATTTGCTGTTTTAAAAAATCCATCTTTCCAGCTTCTCCATGAACCAAAACAACATTCTTAGGCTCAGCCTAAAACCCACAAAATAACAAATAACAGGTAGTGAGCATTTTAATTAAGAAGTTTTATCGAGCGTTCTGATTGGTCCTTTCTTGGCCGGCATTTTGCCATACCGTCGTTTTATGCCACATGATAAACTACGTACTAACCTAGTTTGAGCAAGCCGTACTGAGCAATATTGACCTTTCGCTTAGTTAGCAAGAGGTGGTATTTTATAACCAATTTCGGCAGCAGTAGCACCATTTGGCGCGATTATCATGGCAGTTATCTTACCGATGAGCAGATGTTTTGTTTCTTGAGTTGTTCCTTTGTTGAGTATTTTCTTGTGACGAAGTACATATTAACAGTGAACTTTCTAGCCGAGATTTTTTTGTGCAAAAAGCACAACAGTTGGGAGAAGGTAATTGTCAAATACAGTAAAGCTGTCTTAAAGAAATGATTGAACCCGTGATATTTTTGCCAGTTATGTACTGGAGAGTAACAAGCTGACGTAGATAGCTATGAATCTCCCAGAAGGCTTAACGGGATTGGTTGAGAAAACGTTACAGAACAAACAACAGAAGCAATTACCTTAACACTGAAAACAATAACGCGCATGGTTCCAGGGGTGAATGAAGTTAAAGGTGCTCAAGAGATGAGTAGCTATTGGTTGACGTAACAATGTTCGTAAGGTCAAAACATTTACGAACGGAAAGTTACGATCAGAAAGCATTTGAATAGTTTAAAAAAGGATTTGCTAATACCAGTGCTTGTTCGCCTGAATGTTCAAGAGCTACAGGTTTAAATAAACTCCACAGTCCAGGCCAATGAGCTTTATCCATTGCACTGAGTCATTGATTGACTGCTCAGTCTCACCTGACGAATCAGCTGCATGATTCCCTTTGCATCAGCATGTGCACTGAATGACATGTACTGAACTGATAGCTTGACATCAATCTGACAGAAACAATTTATAATGTTCAGCCATAAAAAGAAAACCAAATAGAAGAGAGGATACCAAGTTGAAAACAAGAAGAAAAACCCTCCGCATTTTTTAGTTGCAAAGTTCTGACTGTCAAGGTAAGTTGAAAGCAGTTTTACAAATACTGTAACAAAAGATTCCAAACATCACGACAGATAACCATGGCATAATTTATAACCACATATTTTTTATGACATACAAAAATACCTGCAACTTAAAGGTCATCTCAAAGTAATGGTGTAAAAAGGTTGAAAACCGCCCAAAAGGTACAAATACGCCATAAAAAAAGGAATTGATTAATGGTGGGGAAGACTGAGAGGTATTCCGAAGAAACAGATTATTTCAAGGTTAAATGTATCTGATGTCAGCCCGTGATGTGGTGAGCATTTCATGACTTACAACACTTTTCTTGTCCAGTTCAATTTTCTTCTGTCCAGACAACACCTTGTGACCCACAGTTCCAGCGACACAATAACCAGGAATTACAACCTGCAATGTATTGTGTTTCAAAAAATCTACGGGAATAAATGACTACACTGATTTTATCGCATGGATTGTAGCCGGTTAAATATACCCTAGATTGGAGAGAAAGATGGTAGATGTTATTAAAATGAAGTCATCTTGTAAATGGAAGTTTACATTGTTGAATATTATCTAGTATGTTGATGACCATAATCATAAGTTTCATGGTGCTTCTATAGTGAAGGTGCAGAGTAATTGAGTTATACCATGTTCTTCTCATCTGAGGCCCATTTCTTGAAAATCTGCAGTGACAATCCCGCATGCAGCATACCAGGTGTTGCAAAAACAACCTATAACAAAACGTTTCACATTTAACAACAGCACTCAAGCTTTGGGTTTTCACACACACACACAAAAAAACCTGGATGTATTTCGCCGGCATTAACAGTACTGTACATGTGAGTACAAAGTGATCAGTAGAAGACAAAATCATTCCAGGATTGCTGCAATCAGCATTTTTCTCTCAAATGGGCTTGTCAGCAATAGGGTCAACTTTACAGGTGATGGAGTTGTTCATAGGTGTGAACGTCATCTATAACATACAGAAAGATGAAGTTCCAAGACTGCCATACACTATAGTTGAGTTGTGATCAATGACATGAAGTACATTATTAACAGACCTTTAATTAAAACACTTAGTGTTTACCAATCTAATAGATATGTGCCTTGTTACAAAGACAATAGCAACAAAATAAATTGACTGAGCATTGCAATAATTATTTGACATTATCTTTACCATTGGTCCTGGATTGTCAATGTATGATCTGTCAAATGGCTGAAAGAGAACAAGTAAGCTTTAAGCAAAAGAAACTCCTCCAAAATTCATTTAACTGAGAAATTGCAAATCGATTTAGCCTATGTAATACAGCAGATTTATCTAACCCTAAATAACTACACATGGCTGTAAGAGTGGCAGTGGAGAGGAGGCCTAATTTATTGGCTGTAGAGCCAATTCTTGTTGATGGGAAATTGAGTAGAAATATTTGAAAAAAAAACCAAGCATAAGAGTTCATAGTTTCAACATACCTTAATATGTTTGAAATCAAACATGTTTCTTTGGACAAAGGTGTTCTTTATTTTCTGGTTAGTCCATGTCACAAATAACTTGTAGTAATGGTTTGCCTATAACAAACACAGTGTGCTGATAAATATTACATGTATGTTGACATTATTAAACAGAAGGGCTGATAAGCCATCAGCTCACTTCATGTACAGCACTGTAGAGTAGAGTAACTCACAGCCTAGCCAGGGCCCGATTGTTCAAAACCGCGATTAAACTAACCTCTGATTAAGCCTAATCGTGGGTTAACTAATCGGGGGGTTAGAAAACTTTGTTTTCAAATGGCTTCCTTGGCGAAAAAACTGCCCGCGAAACTGTGGCCTTGTTCACTTCAACTGCATCGCTGATAACTTAAAGAAAGTTGCCACTAGCACAAAATCTTAGTACTAGCAGCACTTTGGTCTATTGGTTCAAGAGCATAGCCACGCTTCGTTTTCCTCCGCAAATCCGCCTCTATAAGGTTTGTGATTTTTTCAATGGACGCTCTCCCGAATCTCTCACGAGCCCGAAGCTCGAACTCGCTATAAGCGAGTATGTTATGATTAAATATCGATAACATTTGTCCAACGCGAGGGAGATGAAACAACAGGCCGGACATTTTTCTTCAAGTTTAATCGGCAGATTAGGGAGTTAATCCTCCTCCGGAGGTGTATTAAATTTAACCCGCCGATTAGAGTTTGATTAGCGCTAATCGGGCTTTGAGCAACGCAATCTAATCGCAGATTAAATTTTAATCGTCGGTTAAGAAACTTAATCTCCGATTAGCGCTAATCGCGGTTTTGAACAACCGGTCTCTAGAGAACAGTACCAAGCCACATCAAACATTTACTTATTTTTGAACCAAACTTATTTGAGCTTCTAGTTTGTACAATTTCATAGTTACAGATGAAAATCTTCACGCAGCCTTTTTCACAACCTTAATAAAAATACAGCACTGTGATTAAGAACCTAATAAGCCATCACTAATACTAAAACATTACTTCCCAGTTGGTCAAATAAAACCAGTTTATACATTAGTTCCACTTCACTATAAAGTACCTTTTCAGTGAGCCCTGTTGAGAAATATATCGGTGCTTTTAAATTCATTCTGTCCCTGAAATGCAAGAGCATGCATGTGATCAGCTCCCATTTCTTTATTTGTCTACCCACTGACAAGTTAATCTTTACTTCTGACTTGTAGGTTTTGCACTTCTGTAGGTCATTTTGGCTATCAATGAACAATGTTTAGAAAAAAAGACTCCTCACTTTAACTTGAAACTCATACTTATCATCTTATACTTATCTTACCAATATGTTTCCAGTAAAATGCAAAGTTCCTGAGCTCGTCCCAAAGCAAACACTGGAATCAACACCTGTTCAATGACACAAAATACATTGTGCAAACCCAAAAAGAGATACTGAAATTTAATACGACATGCTGAGAAAACTATTAATAATATTTATTATTTATGTGCATTGACACACTATAAGGGAGTCTATCAATGAATATCTTTCATTGTTACCTTGCCACCTTTGTCCATAGCCTCGTGAACCTTCTTTAGAAAGTCTCGCTCTCTGCATCTGTGTGAAATTAAAAGATCCAGATATTAATACCAGTCCTTGCCAATTGTCATTATTTATTATAATTCAATGTTTTGTGAAGCATCAAAATGGACACTTGACATGGCTCCATTGTAGTTTTAGGCTCACTCATTTTACAGTGTGACAAACCTTGAGTCATTACTTTTTTGTTTTAATGCAGTAGCTAGAAATGTTTAACTACCATTTTTAAATGGTGGTTGAATATTATGATTTAAAAATCATAACACCATTGAATTTGACCCTTTATCACTTAGTGTGATGTACCACAGTCAAGTAATTATTTTAAGGACCATGGTAATCCTCAGTGCGGACAAAAGTTTTGCCAGAAAGATAATCTTATTCGGTCATGACATTTACTGTTCCAGTGTTAAATGGCTTTTTTGTCTCAGTCTATATTATATTTACAACTTCTCTTTGATTCATTTTGCCAAACCACTGTCATAGCTATAATTTCTTCCGCTTTGACACAATGAACTACTATTAAAGAGAACTTGACAACTTAATGTAAACTTTCCCAACATTTGGAACCCTGAGGGACTACTGAAGCCAGTTGATTTTCAGATGTAACACCAGCAGAAATACACAAACCTTTTGGAGTCTCTGATAGTTGTGGCATAAGTTGATTCAGTTATGAGTACATCTGGTCTGCATTTGTCAATCCAAGCTGCCCTACAAAAAAACAATCATTTGACAATAAGGCACAACTAGAAGGCCATGCATAGTGTCCTGTCATTATGATTGTATATAAATTATCTGATATGTCCTGCTGAAATTCAGATTGTCCATAATATTGTCAATCATGAATGATTTCCCTCTGGTTTTCCATGCTGTAACATCAAACCATATTTCTGGATTGGGGATTTCATTAACTTAACACACAGGAGGGCAAGACTTTGTAAAAGGAAAGCACACAGACATTCAATCAGTCTGGCAAGAGCCACTAGAATAAGATGTTTGTCCCAAAATAGATGTTCAGTTGTCATAACAATGAATGGATTGTCTTAATACAGAGGCTGTCACTTAGATCCAGTGCCCAATGATTGTCCCAATGAATAGTAATAAATAATAATAAAGAGCATTTTTATAGCCCCTATCCAAGCATGATCTAGGCGCTTTACAAAATATACTTGTCAATACATGTAAGAAAGACTTACCCCAGATGTCTGTCAGGTGTCATATTGTAGTCACCCTATGAAGAGGTATGTAACATCAGTGGAATACTTTGCAATATAAACAATGCTCTCTAAAATTACAACAAAAATTGGCCATCACTGCACCTAAATGGATCAAGACCAATGTTCCTAAAATGTTCAGTGCAGATAATTCATCCAAGCTAATCTTTTACTGGCTATGAGCAGAAACTCAAAACATGATGGCATTTCTTTGACTTGGACAACCAGCTCTTTCAATATCTCTTGACAAAAAATAACACAAATATATACAGATATCCATTGTTTACTCGAAGTAGGCAGCTATCTGTACTCGGGGGTTGATTTAACTCATTGACCAGCTAGGCATACATACATATATACATACACAAACATTATTTTGTTTCGGATTTATAAATACCACAATGGTGCTAGTATCTCTGGAAAAAAAAAAAGTATATAAATAACATACATAACTTAAATTACAAAAATTAAAAACTTGTAAACCGCTTCACTTTATGCTTAAAAATGGTCATGGGTGACAAATGTTGAGTTTGCACAAATCAGAACTCAGCCATGGACCAGCCTTGTAAAATTTTAACTCCACTAAATCTTTACTGATGTATTATATTATTGATCATTTTTCTTCAAATAAAAGCAGAGGGTTTTTACGTTTGCACAACATGTTTCAGATGACCTTCATCCATTACAGTTTCAAATGTAAAACAGACTGCTAAATTAACTTAAAACCAATTTGTGTTTATTTGAAGATTTGTAAATTACANACAAATGCAGCAATATAAATTTTTGTAAAAAAGTTGCAGCACTTGCATGGATGCACCAATTATTGAATTTGTTTGAACATAAATGGTATTCTTTCTCAGTCATGACCTGATCACTTTATTTCAAAAATTTGATTGGTATTAGACCATATTAGTGTCATGGAAAATTTCTGACCCCAGACCCCTCCCCTAAATTTCTACAATTTACTCCAACGCCCCCATCTTCCCCAACCTCCCCAACCCCCCAGATTGACCACAGCAAATTTTATCCTGGGCTCCTAAAAAAGTGGCTTAGGCTCCTAATCTTTGAAGTTAGGAGCCCAAAGGGCTCCCTATAAATTTCCTTAGGCAATAGCCTTGTAGATGGTAAAGCAAATTATTGTGCATTACTTGCAACAAGTCAGTGGTAGATTTGATCGTGACATTGGGGTTTGCAAATGCTTGTGTTAACAACAGCCTTACCAACAGAATAGGACATATAGCCTTAGTTGGGTGTGTCATGTAGATAGGTCCATCATAGCCAACCATTTCTGAGAAATATGGTAATGCACCACAGTGATCTAAATGAAAATGGCTGAAGAGAAAGACATTATTCATTATTCAATTTGGGTACAAATGTGAAAAATTCAAATTATCGGTATGTTGAAATTATCTTATTTAACTACATCGTTCTTTAAAAAAATCCAATTTGAAAGTTTTAATTAATTAAACAAAACACTAAATGCATACAGTCAAACCTATACTAAGCAGACACCTTCTATTACGTGGACAGCAGCACAAGTCCCATTTTTTGCACCACATTTACTGTAAAAGATACCATCCTGTTTTCAACGGAAAGCTCTAAGACTATTTAAAGCGGATGAGGAAAATTAACCTTGACTTTTATGGTCGTTTCTATTGTTCAAAACTTATATTAAAAGGACACTGCAAAAAGGATGCATGTTTTTTGTTCACGTTTTAATGGCTTGGTCATTTAAGTTTGTTGACAAAGAGCTGTCATAGAAATGCAACATTTTGTTATTTGGTTTTGTCTTTGCAGAATTTTTATTCTTGTTTTATTGTGTAAACCTTTAGATAGTTTGATCAATATAGAAACTGTTACTGCATACTAATCACTTTAAATCTTCTGATCAGATTATACTTGTTAATGTTTGCAGAAGTATGTTATTCCAGAGTTACCATACATTTCATTTCATTTCACCTTCCAAGGCCTTTAATTACTCAGGAATATTAATATGACACTTTAAAGACAAATTTTAAGGGAACACTGCTCAAAATTAATTTGGAAACCAAAATCCACCCAAAAAAAATCACTGAAAACCAAAAACAACTGCTGAACATAATAATTGATTAAAAGTGCAAATCTGTCAAGCTTATTAATACAATTGCAAAAGATGTAGATGCTTTTTTTAGGGCATTGATGTACCTTTTAACTTACTATTAACCCCTTAACAACTAGATTTAAAAAAAAAAAACGGCAATCAAATGCTACAGATGCCCGTAATATTCTGACGCAAAAACCTCCTTTGAGAATGCAAATCAACATTCCCTTTCACTTCGAGGTATAGAGAGGATGATTCTAATTCCAAATTCAATTTTTTTTTCTGATTGTGCAGAACATATCAGGACCACATTTGGTTGCAATGCAGGACTTGCTTGGAGCATCAGTTATAAAGAAGTGGTCTCCCATTGTTAATCTAATTTGTATCTTCTATGTATGGCACTCCATGTGAACAGAGATTGAGCAGGTGAAATAAAGAGATCCAGAAACTGGGCAAGCAAATAACTGAAACCAATCTCCTTCCCGGCAGCCATAAGCACTAAAACCCAAAACTGGATATTTTACGTGCAAAAACCTAAAAACCAATCTCAGTAAAAAATAACCAAAACCATAACAATGAAAACCCTAATGCCCCCTTTTACTATTGTTCAATGTACAATGTATTAAACAGACTGATTATCCTTTACGTTGTTAAGTCAGGACTCAGCTAACCTGATAATCACGCAATCCAGATGCTGTGTTAAGCGGCCTGCTCTAGTGATGTACGAAAAATCAGGGAAACGTCTCTGCAACAAAGCAAAATGTTTGTTCATGAAAATAATACCTCTGAACTAAGTATTTTCCTACTTTTTTGGACCGTAATTATCTCAAAAATCGCCCTTTAAATTATTTAAAATGAGTTTCTACTGCTGACTTTATTTTTCTCTGTGTCTGCACCTATTCCTAAGTGATGCAGAAAAAAAAAAACATGAATACACTATAAATATAAGAATTCAAAGTACTAGGCCTGGGGAAGACACTGAATCAAAAGCGTAATGATTTAGAAGAAAGAAAATACCTCATCATTATATCCCATGTGCATTCCACAGTCAAGCATGATATTCTTTCCACCAATAGTCACAAGGATACAACTGCGCCCAACATCTTCAAGATGAAAGAAGTGTACAGATGTTCAATAATTATCCAGATTACCATACAAAATTTGCACATTAAGAAAACCTTAAAATGGACTTAAAACATAAACAGGGCTGCCATTAAGTTTTGAGTCGCCTGCTGCTTTGATCTCCAACCTCATACCAAACTTGCTACCTCACAGGTGTATTGTATCAACCAGAAAGTTCAGTCCTAAGTACGTCAAGGGCTCATCAAGCGTACTCAGCCGTAACAGTCAGGTGTTACGAGTTATGGCCCCTAATGACAACCTTGAACAGGTAAACTTACTGAATCAAATAAAGCATGGTCTCTTTGTTCATTCATTACTTTTTACTAATTATAAAAAATCTGTCCAATGACAAGCTTAATATTTCTTTAAACTGTCGATTCCCCTAAGTATCAAGAAGCATCTTAATTGTCAATCCTAACAAGAATCTAGGATACATGAAGTCCGTATACTTGTCTCAAGAGAGGCTATCAGATTATATTTGTCCAGCACTTGTTAGTTGTATATATAGAAAACAAACTAAGCACATAAATACATAGGATTTAGCTCATGGAGTGGCTCATTTTCCACTGTTTCCAGGTCAAATTGAAATTTAGTTTCACATGTTGGTTTCACTTGTTTCCTCGATACCACCCAGTCCTTAGAAACTGAACCGGCCAGTGTAAAATGTAGACTGCGGACTGTGGAAGTCCTGCAGACCGGGGGATAAAATACAGAGGGTAAAATGCAGACTGCAGACCACAGACTTTTTGTGGGAATATAGTCGGTAATATTTCCCTTATTGAGTGATGACCAAAAAGTCTGCGATCCGGTTTGCCTAAATATCACTCCAGTTAGAGGGAATATCATTCAGGTTAGCCTAAATAATGCTCTGGTTAGCTCTCAATGATTGAAATGGTAACACCATTCAGTTAAAAGGTCTACAGTCTGCAGTCTGCATTTTAGCCTCAGTCTACATTTTACCCCAGTACGCAGTCTACATTTTACACTGACTAAAAACTAACGCTTAATTGCTCAATAAAATGCCACACACCTTGTCCAGCTCCTGTACAAATCATCCCATGGTAGGAAAAAAATTAGAAAAGTACATGGAATTTCATCAGAATACTTTGAACTACATTCATAAAAACTCTTCACACAGATTAACTTAAAGTGCCTATGAAGTAAAAAAATAATTCCTGCTTATTTGAAAGGCTTTTCAGAGTAAAGAACAATGGCATTTTCCTTTTTGGANAACAGAACCAGTGCCATAACTGTTGTCATGGCAACAGCCTGACAGGCGTCATTATGTTTCTTTTGTGATATACATTTCTGGTGCCAAGTTTAAAGAACACTGCTTTAATATTTCTAGAGGTATTCTCGATTGAGTGTTGTGCTGTTTTCGTGAAAACACCTATAACGTCATCACTTTTCTCATTTACATAATACAAAAATGTAAATATCCCTAAAATGAAAAAAGTATTCCAAAAAGGAAAACGCCATTCTTCTTTACTTTGAAAAGCCTTTCAAATAAGCAGCAATTATTTTTTACTTCATAGGCACTTTAAAGTGAATATTTCACTATAACATGAACATATCTTTGATTACAATTCACACCAATCAAAGTGCAAAGCAAAACTCTTTCCCTTTGTGGACATTCAGGAGTCACAAAATTAACCCTCACAAAATCACAAAATGCAAGATTTTTTTGGCACATATAAGCCAAACTCCACTTAGCAAAAGTTTATCAAGAATTCCTCCTGTTTTTCTTTCACATTTCTATACAAAAGAAAAACAGGAGGAATTCTTGGTAAATTCTATTTCAAAAAAGAGACAATTTATGATTTGGAGAAAATCTTAGTCCAAAAAAACTGTATGTTCAGAGCCATCTCAACCTTGTGCCAAGAGAGATAGATGCCTCCAGAAGTGAGAATGGTGTTTTAAATACATTGCCACTGCATGTTTATACATTTGTTTATACAGTATTTAAGTAGCGGGGGTAACGTAGAAGGTTGGTGTGACATGCTACAGAAATGCCAACCTAAAAAATTTGGAAATCCAGGAGATTGTTGTTCAAGGTGGAGCGCCACCAATTTAACCCCTAAAATGTGTCAAATATCCAAACATTTTACCCCCAAAATGCTAAAAATCGGAAAAATATGTCTGAAAAATGTATTTTATGTGCCTTCCTTTTGTATAAGTGTGGGAGATTTGGTGACCCATGAGGGAGACCGGGAGATCAGGACTCTCCTGGATAATTAAGTTGGCATAGGTGATGTTACAATATATAGTAAAGGTAAGTCTGATGTTGAATACTTGAAAGGACTTGTTACTAGTTCACTGCTGGTTGTTTTCTGCCAAGAGAAAACAAACTATTTTCCACACCTTAAGGAATTTCACTGGGATGCTTTCTGACAAAATCCCTACTATACTCCTTGCTTGTACTTTCACATATCTCCTGCCATCCCCCCCCCCCTCCCACCCCCCGCCACCCAACACATTTTACGACGATAGTTACATTTACATTTAAGATCATATTTTCAACTTTATACAAAGGAAACTACCAAGAAGCCTAGGGTAACTTACCTAAAGGAACTACCTTGATTTCTGGCATCTTGTCACAATATGTGCGGTAGCTCTAGATGAATTCACATCTTGAAAATGCTCAAAAGACACACAGACAACAGAGACGACAGACGAGAGAAAAAGGGAAAAGGCGAGTGGTCAGCGTTATGCCCTTGGAAAATATGAGCGGGGAGCTGTTGAAGCCACTGAGAAGGAAATGCGGGCGCAGAGTCGAAAATGAAAATGGCGGAACTTCCAAACAAGCCGGTATAAAATAACTCATTAATAATTTGCGAAAAGTAGTCAATTTAGAACGCGATTATCTTGCTCAAAGTGTAATATTTTGAGCCATTATGACTGAGAGGAAGTTTCAGCTGAGCATTGTCCACGATGCCTTCAAAAAGACGCTACAAGAAGACGGGAACTTAGTGATGGACGAATATCTACGAGGTTATGACGAACTTTGCATATTTTTCGATATGCTTGGAACGGTTTTCGGATTCATTACATCAGACGTCAGAGAAAAAATTGGAATCCTTCAAGAGCACCGCAAATCAGAAGTCGGCGATAAGTACGTTTTAGTGCAGTCAATGTTCGAGTTTGAAATTGCCAATGATTTAACCCAGAAGAAAACGCGTCCTCTGTCTGGCTCAAGGACACTTTTAAGGTTACACCGTGCTTTAGCGTTTACAATGCTTTTCATGGAGAAGTTGAGCGAGTCATCGGACAACGATTCTTCTTCATCCATGGCTTCAGATGCTTATAAGCAGTCCTTGGAAATATTCCACCCATGGTTAATCCGAAAAGCAGCCTTGTGGGCCATGTATACCCTGCCTAGTGTCGGAGATTTAACCAAGAAAATATCAGCACCAAATATGGATAGAGAAGACGCAAAGCGATTGTTGAAGGAGGTTACAGAGGTGATAAAACCTGTTTATGATATCACTGAGGAACTTTACTCTAAACATGATCTTCATGGACTTCCTTGATCTTTAAGTGTCCTCTATTGTAGTGGAAATTCAATTAAGTTAATTGATTATAGATATTAATATATAATAATAGTCTTGTAGATTAAACTTTGAAGTACCACTTAATAAAAGCATTTAAGTGTCAATAGTACTCCCCATTTGCTTTGGTTTTGCATCACTAGCCTAAGGGGCTCTTTACACGAGCCTGGGTTGATTTTTTGACCAGATTGAAAATACCGTTGAGTGCTAAAACTAAACAGTTTTATGAACAGTCTGCAAAAGCATGTGGTTTGCTTTGAGCCTGACCCGAACACCTTATGAACACCTTGGACTTGCAGTAAATGATTGCCAATGATTTTTACAAAGGTGTGAAAAAAGTTCACATTCATGATGTTCTCTTAGCCTATGATACCATGATCAAAAACAAAAACTCAGCCCTGGGCTTACATTTGTTCAAAAATAATGAGAACAAGAAGGTATGATCATAAGGCCTTTTGTTAAGGGTTCATCTCTTCTTAAGAAAGGTTATCAGCATGACCTTTCAGCATTCACTTGGCAAATTCTCATAAGTTTACTTTATCCATACTCAATAACAAGGGTCCTTTTGATGTAATTTTTGAAATAATATTACTTGCATCATGCAAATCATTCATTAAACCCTTAGGTTTTCTATGCTGAATATAAAAGTCTCTGATCAAAACTGATCAAAGCATTGTTGTCTCTGATCAAAGTATTATTTTTCTTAAATAAAGGCACAAGTCTCCAGTTCTCACAAGATATTTCTATTAATCTTTCAAACTCTCTGAAAATGTCTTTTCTCATTGCTATGCACCTTTGACCTATTGATGTCAGACCTTAGGGGCACTTTATCTCCCTTCCCACCTCCATATTAGGAACTGTACCTCTTGAGGTGAGGGCATTTAGTTTTTAGTCAGAACTTTATTTGAAAACAGATGTCACCTTTTTGAAATGAACTTCTGTTCCTGAGAGGTCTGCTAAGATTGCACTGAGAAATCACTTCATTCTGCAGGGTTTGAATGTTATCTAAAAGTTCAGTAAACATTTTCACTTGTGATTTTATGTACAAAGTGTAAAATGAAAATTGACGGAAGCAAAACTATATTGTAGCTAAGTTAGCTCCTTTTTCATAACAGCTACTGTTGCAGAATAGATCATAAAATGCAATTCGGTTTCCTGTTTGGCTCATTAATCTTGTAGGGTTCTCTAAATATTGAAATTTGAATATTAAAATATATAATTATATAAAATTGAACAGATGTAATGTGATACGAGGTAATAAGTTCAGACATGTATATGCCTTAAGCCTTGTTTGGGTAATTTGAAGTTTGGCTCAAGTCAAAGGGCAGAGAAACATCAGACACAAAGATTGTGCGACAGTGTCAACCTTGTCGTCATGTCTATTTTTGGCCAGGAACGTCTGAATAAAGATTTATTCAAACCAGATCAGATTGGATCAGTGATCGGCAAATTTACAGAAGGTAGAGTGGGCAGCTGGACTGCTTTTCCAGGAATATTTTAGGGTCTTGAATTTCTTATAAGTTGTCAAGCCTCCACACAGTTGTGTTCTTAACCAAACTTCTACAGCATCATGTTTCTCAATTCCCTGGAATTTGCTAGAGTTGACCCTTTTTCTTTGTTCATGGTGTTGCAAAGTTAACAAGCATTGTCTGAGGAGTTAACTTACAGCATTCAGCAGCTGCAGTCTCTGCCATTATTTGGTTCATCAAATAGAAGAGTTATGTAACAAATGAAATAAGAAAACTTGTCTTGCACAAGCACATTTTATTTCATTCAACCTTTAGCAGAGCTTAACAATTTTTGACTTACTAGAACAAAAAGCTACCTGCCTCATAGCAAACTCAGCTCTTACATTGTAACTGTGTAACATATTATATCAATATATCAAGCTACCTTGTAGCAAATATTATTTGCAAACTTCCAAATGCTGATGCAACACATGTCGCTTCAACCTCTAGGAAAACTGATTTTTATTGATATACATATTTGTAATCTACACAGCTTTTCTGTTAATGTAACAGAATTTACGGCGAACTACTTCAAACTACTTTGCATGCATTGAACACTGAAGGTATTTCATAATAACAAACACACTGAGTGCATCATACAGCTTACATTAATAACTGTAAACCACCATTATAATATAGGGTCACTAAAAGCTTTAATTTGATTTTGATATTCTCACATTTTTAGCTTGATGTTAGTACTTAGTGGTTCATACACAGTATGCATAATACGATAACTTTCAATGAAAATTTTACAACCCTACAAATTTGTTATCCCCAGAAGGATTTCATTGAATGATTATATAATTTTCTTCTAAAAGTTTTCTTGGACAAATCGATACGATTTATTCAGTGGCTACTGCCAAAAGACTGCTTGATACAAGCTACAAAGAACATTACCGAAGTAACACAACTGAACGTAACTTACTGTAACGTTTTGGGTCTCAACAGAAATTAACTAGTAAAGCACACTGAAATCAAGCGATCCGGCAAACAAGCAATCTTCAACTGAAGACGCAACCACCAAATCTTCAACTTCAGGTGACATTATAGCTTCTCCGTGCACTGAATCTTCCACAAATTCTTCACACTTTATTTTCATTGGATCATAGCCCAGTATTTTTGGTATATCACACAAAAAACGGTAGACATATCTTTTTCCATGAACCTTCTCAATGACTGAATTGCCATAGTAGTAGCGGATACCACGGCTCAGCTTTTCGTAGTTCATGGTGGGCTTGTTCTTCTTCTTCCCCCACATCTTTGCCACAGTTGAGGGCTGCAGTATTTTAAATTCATAGTCCTCTTCCTGTGTCCACTTGATCAGTTTTGTACACTCAGGTGAGGTGACCAGCTCCAGTAAGAACTGCCACAGTTGGATTGGCCCATCACCTGGCACATGGCAAAAAAAAAAATTTAGATAAAAAGTTTTAAATTATTTATGGCAAACAACACTAAGTTGATATCTTTGAGATTTATACCTGGCAAGTGCAGAACACAAATTACAGCCATATCTCAATGTAAACAAGACGCATGTCTGCGTGAACTCCAGCTTTTTTAGAACAAACGACACTTTCACGTCGTTTACACCTCACATTCCTTGTGAACTAGCAAAGTTGACTCTGCAAAAATTTGGAATTGCAGGGTTGTTTTTGGTTTTTGTTTTTTTTCTTTTTTGAGCCCATTGATGCCTGCATAAAATTGCACGTGACCCACCCCTAATATTAATTCCCTGGCATTTTTTTGAAATATTTCAGAACAAGCGTAAGCACAAAAATAAACCATATGGGCAGTATTCAAGACACCGCTTATTTAAAGTTGAATAAATGAAGGGCCAAAATATTAAAANGCAATAAATGTTCACATATGCTGTAATGGTGTCCCAGGCCATGCTGGTGGCTAATGTCCCAGGTATGTCGGCGGCATATGAGAACCAGGCTTTAGTCTCTTTGCCTGTGAACAAACAAATTTGCACTACTTGTTGCACTGACCTCGATATTTGACAAGTGGCCTTGGCCCACGCTTTCTTCGTTTTATTGGCTTTTGTGTTGTAACTGGTGTTTCTGTAAGTAATAATAAAGCAATTGAAATCTAAGAAAAGGATAAAAAATGTATTTTTGTGAAAGTTCCTCACATTTTAATGTTACCTTGTTTAACAATCTGTTTTTCAGTTTCTGCTGGTAATGAGGGAGACTCTGAAGAATTCATGCTTTCCAATAATTCTAGAAGAAAAGTAAAAATATGATGTACATTTTGACAACATGAAAATAGCCCCATAAAATTCAGACTTAACCTATGAATAATCAGCACCTATTTTCTCCATGCAATTTAAATATAAATTTGTCAAGAGTGAATAAAACAATACTGGATATGGTCTACACTGTCTTCTACAGAAAACTAAACAATTGGGTGATTCCAGAAAATATCCATACCATACCACAGGCGGTATCTTGGAATTCCAAGGAAGAGGGGGGGTGGCTCTTGGACTGGAATGCAGAAGGCATGGGAGCGTGGGGGGGGGGGTAACACAGTTGGGAATTCCAAACACATGGGGGTTTCAGCTCTGAATTTCCAGAGGGGGAAACATGGTTAAGGCTCAAAAGCTTCCCTTGAAATCGCTGATTTGATAATTTTTCCAGTTTGTAAATCAAGCATGAACCGACCACGGAATTGAAGCTGGATAAAGATCAACCAGGCAGGTGTTAGCCTTCATGTGGATGAGCAAGCGGATGGGTTCTGCAGCAAGCTCCACATTGAAGAGGCTTTAAAGTTGATGAATTAAGTCGACAGATACAAGTCTGTGTTTCTTTCCAATCTAAAATTGTTGATTGACAATCTTGTTGCGTGCCAAAAACTCGCACCAGTTTCTTGTTTCCAAATGGAATGCCTGACAGATTTGTAGGCTGCATTACAAGTGCTCAACAGTTACTCAATGAACAGAATTTTCAATATGGCGGGTGACTGCCAGCACATCGTGAACTTTACATTTGTCTTCCACTTGTATCATTATGATCTACTCTCCTGAAAATATGAAGCTAATGAACTGAAAACAAAAAAGTTTTATTTGCTGGTAAGCAACTTAAAGATAACACTTAGATGGGAAAGCTACAATGAACTTTATCAAATGTTTATAACAAACTTGAGTTGTTTTTTTGCTTGAACAAAAATTGAGAGCAGAATTTTCTTGGACGGGGGAAAAAGTGCAAGTTTCCCTTTCGTTAGAAGTTTTAGGCAGTCAAATAGGAATCCCAAAGGGTCTTAAAAAAACAACTGGAAATTCCGGAGGGGAGGAAAGGTTAACGCTTTTGGAATTCAGAGGGCATGGGAGGTAGAGTATTTTGGAATTTCCAAAGTCAAGGGTGGGGGGGGNGGTTAAAATGTTCATGCCACCCGTGGTAGGGTATGGATATTGTGTGGTTCCAGAAAATATTCCCACCCCCACCATGGAGGGAATTGGAAATTCTGGATGGATGAAGGGTCAAAGACCCAGGAAATTCCAGAGGGGAGGGGGTTTGGATGGTCAATTTAGTTTCCAGATGTCCTTTAATTCAATACAGATTTAAGTATCAATCTAGATGTTCAAAAATCCTTTCTTACCTACTAAGTAGATCTTTCACATGGAAAAATAGTAGCTTGAATACTTGTATTTGAATTGCATTTATATTTGAAATAAATTTTCTCTCTTCAAAAATCTCTTTGGAAGCTATTACAAGTGCGAAGAACGAGCTGTTGCATGGAAATGGCTGCCATTACTTCTTACCAGTCTACATGGAGTCATCTCAAGGACCGAGGAGCACTGGTGGCTAGCTTAGTTTGTTTTTGCATCGGTTTTGGAGGCTGTCAAGTGGCAGTCGATTTCTTTCGTGAAAATTAGCTTCTTTATAAAGGTAGAGATGATGTTACGATTTCACAAACTTGAAAATTTCTTATTCATGTTTACCTCTGTCTATTTGTATGTAAATTGGCTTTCGTCGCGAGTGTGTTAGCGATTGTGTTCACGATAAAAGTATGGTGTCAGTTTCATCCACATTCATCTTATCAGTCCTTCAACCAAAATTGTACCACATCTACAACGGGACTTAGTTGTATAGGAAGGTAATTTGACAAGCTACCATTTTATTTATTTTTTAAATCATGTTTAAACAAATTGCTGTATGCTTTCTTTGTGTGTATCTTCAGATGTTACAATCAATCAAGAATACACAGCAGTGATGTGCAATGCAAACAGCTAAGTGTTTGGAGTGTTTACTTTAACTTTTAACACACTTTCTTGCCAAAACTATTTTTTTCCAGACGATATGGGGGTGTACATGATACTCGTGGAAATTCCAGAGGGGTGGGGCATTATTTTTGTGTTCAAAAATTGCAAATTCCAGGGAGGACCGGAGGCTTACGTGAAATTCTCTCCTTGGTGGGGGTATGGATATTTTCTGGAACTACACATTTTCTGGGATCACACATTTTTACAAACAAAATTCTAAAGAGTATGATTACATAATAATTACATAATAGCTACAAACTGAGGTGTAGTGGTAATCATTTCATGAGTTTCACCAACCATCGATGTATTCAAGATCGTCACTGATGTCACTTTGTATGCCCTCATCTGTGCTGCAACCAGCGTCACTGATGGCTGGGCTCTGAGGGCCTGGGCTAGTACCAGATAAATGGTACACTGAATCACCACAAACTGAGGACGGTACTTCACCTTTTGTGACAAGTGCCATAGTGTCAGGTAGCCATGGCGTACTGTTGGATGCAGCATCCAGCAGGTTGTACAGGACTGTGGGATCTGGCAGTTGATCAATATCTACATATGGTGGGAATATCATATTACATTTAACCCACGCCATGGAAAACACAGCCACTCAAATTACAGGAAAGCCATCATATACTCAGTGGTGTCACCCAACCTTCCCATCATGCATTGCCCACATGTCTTATTGATGGTGTTGGTTATTCTGTGGCACAGTATAAGAGGAGAGTGTATGTACAAGGAAAACACAAGTAACAAATGGGATAATTGCGAGAAAGTGTTTGCACAACTAGTATGTCCTGGTATGTGCAACTTAAAAATTATATATTACGTTTCTATTATTCAAACATATGTATATTAGTGTTCTGTTATAGCTCATTTGTGACCCTATTTTGGAAAAGGCGGTTAAAGGTGAATTGTCAAAATGGCGTTTAAATGCCTTAAAACGAAAGTGTTTAAACCCATTTAAACGCTTTGGATACATGCTTAAACACTATTTCTGTGCGTTTAAACACCAGTGCAAAATTTTCTCTGTTTAATTCTCCGATAATTATGTTGTGGTTAGTTTACGAAGCTTTTTGC